GCGCCCTCCCCCATCCCCACTGCCTCCCAGCACTGTAGATGCTGCTCAGTCTTGAGCACTCCTGAGGCCTTGTAGGTCATGTCCACGGACCACTGACCTGGGCCAGATTTTGGGATGATTTGGGAGATGACCCACCAAGTTCAATTTTGCTTGTGATCTAACCGAGGCTTGGGCCTGGCTATCCAGAGGTGAAGGATTAATGCGTTCGGTCACTGTAGCACTGCACACTCAGTCCTCCTGCGTACTTCCTGTGCGCAGGCCTCCCATGAGCCTCAGTTTGCCTGTGTTCGATTTTACAGTAAAACTAGAAAGCAAAAGGTGAAGGTGGGAAAAAACCTTTCCACTGTGTCCTGCGACCTCGACCTTCAGGTCAAAAGAGGTCACTTGGTCCAGGATGGCCTTCAATGTAATCTACATAATAAAAAGTCACCTCTAGGCTAGCTGCCTCCCTGTCCGTAGTAGATACTCTTGGATAAATGTGGGCAGCTCCATTCAGAAAGGTAAGTCTGCCCTTAATTGCGTTGGATAGCCATAGCCTAACCTGAGAACAGCATGCTAGCAAGCCAGTGGCTCGTGCTGTGTACAGTAGCGCTGTCTTTAACACTCGGACATGAAGGGAGCCAGGTCTCCTGGCAAGAGACCAGTGTGGTGAGTTCCCAGTATGTTTGTTCACTCTTCCCCAACTCGCTGTGGGGCTGTGTCCATACGATAGAGACAGCTACTCAGGTGGGTAAAGGAGGCTGCTGTGGAGTCCTGCTAATGTTGATCAGATGCTTTAGTAGAAATCGTTAGTAGAAAATCTTTTGCTGAGGCGTGGTATGTGATGAGGAGGCTGGAGCTGTAGTTTATTTCCAGGGTTGGGCAAGCTGAGGCGCAGGAGAAGTAAGCCATGTTGTCCGAGTTGGATTGTGTGAGTGCAGGAGAAGTAAGTCACACTGTCCGAGTTGGATTGTGTGAGCCACAAGAGAAGTAAGCCTCGTAATCCGAGTTGGATTGTGTGAGCCACAGGAGAAGTAAGCCATGTAATCCGAGTTGGATTGTGTGAGCGCAGGAGAAGTAAACCACGTTGTCCAAGTTGGATTGTGTGAGCCACGGGAGAAGTAAGCCACGTTGTCCGAGTTGGATTGTGTGAGATCCAGGAGAAGTAAGCCACGCTGTCCGAGTTGGATTGTGTGAGCCACAGGAGAAATAAGCCACGTTGCCGAGTTGGATTGTGTGAGGCCCAGGAGAAGTAAGCCACGTAATCCGAGTTGGATTGTGTGAGCCACAAGAGAAATAAACCACGTTGCCTAGTTGGATTGTGTGAAGCCCAGAAGAAGTAAACCACGTAATCCGAGTTGGATTATGTGAGCCACAAGAGAAGTAAGCCACGTTGCCTACTTGGATTGTGTGAGGCCCAGGAGAAGTAAGCCACGTAATCCGAGTTGGATTGTGTGTGAGCCATTATTTAAGAATTAAAACGTGGTATAAAGTTTATTTCTTTATAAAAATGCGGGAGCTCCTTGGAGGTGCCCTTATTGCCACAGTTACGTTTTGGCTTTTAGAAAAGTGACCCTGTTGACTAGAATCACACATTAACAAAGAGCGTTAAAATTACATTGCAAATTGGAGGAATATTCCAAGACATTTATTTCCGGTGCTGAGCAGGGCCATCGCTAGGGTGCCTGGGACCAGTCATCCCCCCTCTGCAGCAGATCCCCAGGTGCGGGGGGCCTCAGATCCCCCATTGTAATTTAACTGGAAATTACAATATAAATAAATACACTGAGTTCTCAAACGTTCTTCTCCTCAGCACAGCAAGAGAGGGGCCAGTGTTCTGTGCTGTAGGCCAGGGGAAACTGCATCATGATGGCACAGTATCACATGCAGCTGCAGTAGCGTCAGATGACGTGTTGTCACCACGCAGCGTATTTTGCGTCTGTGTAATACCATTGTGCGAACCCGGCTTTCCGGATGTGGGATTGCATGTTGAAATTAGAGGAGCGTGTGAAAACTGGGGTAGTTTACAAATCTATTCTGGGCAGAGCTGGATAACTTAAGGGCAAAACTTTCTCTTCAAAGTGTGATTAGAGTCAGAAAATAGCCATAGAGAAATTATTCCAGTTCCCAGGAGCAGTGTCCCTGCAAGCTGAGCACTTAGGCGGCCGCCCTGGTGAGATTCAAATGCCACCCAGCTGATTAGCAGAGCGCCCCAGCTGGCAACATGTGTTTCTACTAGTGATGCACATCCACACGTGCCTCAGTACATATAACAAAATTTATTCCACACATGTACGGAAAACATTAGAGGGAACATTGCCCAGGAGTAACTCCCTTTGTCTTTGGCGGACACGGCCCCTGTTTATCCTGGCCTGGGTTATTCCCGCCCATACAGATTTTTCAAGTGACTCACAATTTTGGGCTGCCTCAGTGTTTGGCTGGAGACACCTTAAAGGCACAACCATCGTCTGAAAATCTGGCTATTTTAAGATGTCTCACGTTGGCCTCCCAAAATGTGGCCATCCAAAATGTCTAGTCCCTTCTGTGTGCAAGTGGGGTCCTGCTCTGTACAGACCTGGTTGAAAGTTTTTGACTGAAACATTTTTTTCCATTGAAAAATTCTGATTCGAGTCAGCCAAAATGTTTCACCTATTTTTATCAATTTCCCATCAACTGCTTGGGGCCAAATGGAAAAAGGAAAAAGGTCTGAGATGTTGAAATGGGTCATTTGCATAATACCCAAATGTGTCCGGTTTTAGAGCTACATTCACAAAGGTCTTGAGGTACAGAACTGAGGAGGGAGTGTTGCAGCTTCCCTGACAACCATTAGCCCTGTGGCCAGGACACATTGGGTCAGGGAAGGCTCTGCACTGGAGCAGGGACTGGCCCCAGGCTAGGGAGTATAGATCAGTCTCTCCGGCTGAATGTCTCCCACTGTGTATGAAGCACGTTTTGTAGTCACTGGCCAGGGAGAGCATAGGAATGGCTCTGGGGGTTAGGGCTGGCCTGTGCTCCCTGCTCCAATGAGCACTGCATCGTGTATAAAAAGTGGAAAAGCTTCAACAGGAGAAATTGAGTGAGCCAGTCGCAGCGAAGCCAGTAGCTGGGTGATTTGGGCCCTACGCTGGGTTTAAGTCCCTGCTCTAGAGTGGCCTGGATCTGCCTTTGCCCAAGTGAATGCCCCAGTCACTGACCTGGTGGGCCTTTGGAACTGCCCCTCCTCATCTGTTCCGTCAACCTAGCTACTCATGTGTTTTGATTTTGTTAAAAGTGCCACAGACAAAACCAAACCTTCCATTTGGGGCTGAACAAGCCATTTTAAGTGACCCGGGGGCTTTTTACATATGCGAAAAAATGTCCGTTTTGGATTGTCTTAAACGGATTTTTTTTTATTGACCTTTTGGAACGGGCAGTGACATGAAAAATCTGTCCCTAGAGCTGCCAAGTATCAGAGGGGTCGCCGTGTTAGTCTGAATCTGCAAAAGCAGCGAGGAGTCCTGTGGCACCTTATAGACTAACTGAAGTGTTGGAGCAGAAGCTTTCGTGGGCAAAGACCCACTTCGTCAGATGCTTGGCCAACACTTCGGTTAGTCTATAAGGTGCCACAGGACTCCTCGCCCTAGAGCTGTGTAAGTGTTGTATGTGGATTACCAGAAACAATAGTATTAGCAGAACCAACACAGTGATGGGAGAGTGACCCGTGTTCCATTTTGACTCGTGTGTGGTTTATAATTGTGTAAACAAAGCTCCAGTTGCAGGGTGAAATTCCACTCTCTTGAAGACAGTTTGGTGTGACACACGCAGGGCAGTGTGAGGGCAGCAGGCATGGGCAGCATGTATCATAGGCTGAGGGTGTCTGTGCCCGTCCAGGGGTCATGGCCCTGTCCAGGTTCTACCCGACGCCTTCTCCTGCTTGTCCTTCCCCCGGACCTCAGCTCAGGCAGGCTGCTCATCCTCCGGCTGGGAAGCATGCCAGGGCTAGGGCGGCTGCTGTCAGGACTTTAGGTGGTTGGGGCCGCCGGGTATGGGGCCGTGCTGCCTGACGCTGTGGGGGGAGGAAAGGGCTGCCAGTGCTGGGGCTGCATGCCCTGTGCTCGAAGAGTGGGGGGCAGGGGACCACCCACCTGGCACTGAGATGTGGGTGGCAGCACACCACCCATGTGTCCACCCAGCATCCAGAGGCAGGGGAAAGGCTG